ATATATATATATATATATATAATTGCAGGACTGGTGAGTTGGGTGCCATGATACCCATACCCGCATACATACCCACTAAATTTTACTAGTATTTATTCACGCTACATATTGGTATTTTTTTTCAGATGCCCCTAGGATCCAAATCTATTTTCTCATCCTAATTTTGTCAGACGTTCCTTAACTTGCCCTTATTCCTATTCGTTTGTTCTCTAAGTCTTGTTCTTCCCATCACAAGTGCGTCATTTTTGTCATTGTTCATTCCTTTTTTGCTTTCATTTCATACTCTTTTTTAGAGGTTATATGATGTAAAACATGTTTTATTTTTACGGTTAGTTTAGATTTAAAAAAAATAAAAAATAATCATTTTTACATAAAAGGTAACTTGTACAATGATTGATGTAAAAATGTTCCCTAGATAACCTCTAATTATCTGATTTGTTTGTGATCGGATGAATTTATTTTAACATGTTTTATTATTTAAGACTTTTTCATAAGTAATTTCTCTGAAGAAGAAAAAAAAGACTGCTACTAAAAAAGATTTTTTGTCAACGTCTAGCACCATTATAATGACTATTGCCTCTTTGGGTGTGATACACAGTCCCCACTAATGAAGTGCGAAAGCAATAACATTTCTTTTTTGACAATGGAGATTGCAAGTCACCCGTCCACACGATATAATTGATTTTTTCTATATTAAATACAGGTAAAAACATCATTCAAGTTTTAAAAGTAAATGTAACTAAAACTTTGGTCAATTCAGAAGGAATTGTTAAAAAGTAAAATGTTACTCAATTTAGTAAAAAAAAAAATATGTCTTAAATAATAATACTATGTATATTAATTAGGGGTTAAAATGTCAATACATACTTACTTTTAGATATTTAAATAAAATAGCTAAACTTTTAATGATTTATTCAAAATTTCTTTATTTTAAAAAACTAAAATATTAACTACATGCACTTTTAAGAACCAAAATTCGGAATATTAATAAATTGATTTGATTTGAATTTGAAGTAAAATAAAATTTTTAATTGATTTGATTTAAGTCGAATTTATCATATATATATAATCCACTATCCACAATGAGAGAAC